ACTTGGTCTCGACTTGGTCTCGGTCTCGGACTTGGTCTCGACTTGGTCTCGGTCTTGGTCTCGACTTGGTCTCGGTCTCGACTTGGTCTCGGTCTCGGTCTTGGTCTCGACTTGGTCTCGGTCTCGACTTGGTCTCGGTCTTGGTCTCGGTCTTGTTCTCGACTTGGTCTCGGTCTCGACTTGGTCTCGGTCTCGGTCTCGACTTGGTCTCGGTCTTGGTCTCGACTTGGTCTCGGTCTTGGTCTCGACTTGGTCTCGACTTGGTCTCGGTCTTGGTTTCGGTCTTGGTCTCGACTTGGTCTCGACTTGGTCTCGGTCTCGGTCTTGGTCTCGGTCTTGGTCTCGGTCTCGACTTGGTCTCGGTCTTTGGTCTCGACTTGGTCTCGGTCTTGGTCTCGGTCTTGGTCTCGGTCTTGTCTTGGTCTCGATACCCTCTGGTCTTGGTAGTGTCTTGGTCTCGGTTTAGGCGGTCTTGACTACAAGTCAATGACTGATTTAAGGCTCCAGAGATGCAGAATGACACTCGCCCACGTCTGTACCTGATGTTTATCTGACCGGTCTCGGTCTTGGTCTCGGTCTCGACTTGGTCTCGGTCTTTGGTCTCGACTTGGTCTCGACTTGGTCTCGGTCTTGGTCTCGACTTGGTCTTGGTCTCGACTTGGTCTCGGTCTTGGTCTCGGTCTTGTCTTGGTCTCGATACCCTCTGGTCTTGGTAGTGTCTTGGTCTCGGTTTAGGCGGTCTTGACTACAAGTCAATGACTGATTTAAGGCTCCAGAGATGCAGAATGACACTCGCCCACGTCTGTACCTGCTGTTTATCTGACCAATCAAATCCCTCATATTCTAATGCAGTTTCAGCACACGGTGTAAAACCGTTCTCGGGCCGTGACCCGATGCCCCGCTCCAGGGCTATAGTGCTCAGGACAATTAAACTCTGCTAGCCAGAGCAACGGCTCAAACCAGACGGCTAATCCTTCATGATGATGCACTAATGAGGAAGTGGAAAAGGCTCACTTCCTGTGTTAACAGGCCTGTGTTGAGCAGGACAGTGTGTGTGTGTGTGTGTGTGTGTGTCTACTGCTGAATAGGATGTGCTGTTCAGATATGGAAGATCGGAAAGATTAAAACACAAAGGATCAGAGCATAATTTACTGAAACAAGCTAAACTATTTGGGATCTAAAATGCACACATTGATTGTGATATTTGACACACATTCCTGCATGTGTTTTTATAATGGGTAACACTTTACAATAAGGTTCATTAGTTAACATTATTTAACTACCTTAGTTGATGAACATGAACGTTTAATCTTAGTTAATATTAATTTCAACATTTACTAATACATTATTAAAATCAAAGGTTGTATTTGTTAACATTAGTTAATGCACTGTGAACTAACAATGAACGCTGTTTTTTTTATTAACTAACATGAACAAAGATTAATAAATACTGTAACAAATAGATTGCTCATTGTTAGTTCATGTCAGTTAATACATTAACTAATGAACCTTATTGTAAAGTGTTACCTTATACTGTTTAAGATGACCATGTTGGCATTAAATGCAGAGAAAACACACAGTACACAGAGCCAGCATCAGTGTAAGTCTATCTGCCACAACCTCATTTCATACATACTAAATAGCATGTGTGTTTAACTGATGGAATTAGGTTAATTTGGTTTCCTTATCATTTACACACTCTTATTTCTTTCCAAACCCGTCAATGACACCAAAAGTAATTGGTTCTCGTGTGTCTTGTGACCAATCGCAACACAGCAGGTTTATTTGACTCGTGCACTAACATTTATTGTCTTTGTGGTCAAATAATAATACTTCTGTGATGCATTTTGGGAGCTTGACGGCATCTGTGCCCATTTTCTTTGGTTTTTGTGTGTAAACTGTTGCTGTAGTGAGTTAGTGTTGGACTGAACCCCTCTGATGATCTCGGACAGATGCACCGGCAGCTTCTGATGTAATCTCATTCTATTCTCCACAAACACCACAGGCTTATCTCTCTCTCTCTCTCTCTCTCTCTCCACACTGTGCCCGTGGCATAAACAGGTCGAGTCAAAGCGCTCTTCACCTTTATGAGCGCACTGATGTGTGTAACGTCTGAATGACGTCAGTTTCAGAGTCGCCGTGATCTCTGAAACAACGTATGTTCAGTGGTGATGCTCTAAACTCTCTCTCTCTCTCTCTCTCTCTCTCTCTCAAAATAAATTGAAAGCCATTATTTAACAAATTAGAAGAGTGGTGTCAGACCCTGGGGGAAGTTTTTGTGCCTATGTTTTTTTATTTATGGGCCTAAATACAGCAGGAAAAAAAAAGATTTTTTTTTATTTGGGCAAGCCAAAATTGCACTTTGGTTGTCACAGAAAAGAAAATTGAATGATGTTGGATCAACTGATGTGTTTGCAGGGTTAAAGAGGTTCATAAAATCCTGTATAAATATAGAGTTTTGCTTTTACAAGTTGGTTAATGACCTGGATGTGTTCAGGCGTAAATGGAGCTTAAACATGTATTTGTGATGTTGACACTGATGGCTGTCTCCAAACTTATGCATGAGTGAAGGTTTGATCGTAAAGGAAATGTTTTTTTAAAACTTTAAAAAAATTATTTTTAATCCTTTGCTCTCACTCTAGTTGGTTTTAAAATATTTTTTTTACTAAAAATGTTATATCTTTAATGTTTTTGTAAATAAAGTGATCTTAAAGTCAACTCTCTCTCTCTTTATTCCTAAATCTGTCCCGAGAGACGCGTCCTTCCATCACTTATTCCTGCACACAGGGTCCACGATTAACTTTCTGAATAGAGAAACTGTATCAAATGTTTATTCCAGTGAATTGTGCATTATATATTTTGTCGCTATGACGATGGGACTATGCTGCTGTTTTTCATTTCATGGCCCTATAAAATACATATTATTTGTTTCCCAAATTTGCATTTTATTTTTACCCAAATTCTGTTTTGCGTTTCAATTATTCTGAATTCCGTTTTAATGGTTTAATTAAACTGTAATAATCAAAAAGGTTATCCAATCAATTGAATTCATCAAACTTTAACAATTTATAAATAAAAGTGCCCTATATATAAAAATATTGTTTTTTCTATTATATGTTTATGTGTATTTTTGGATTCTATGTTTTTTTTATTTAATACAAATTTGTCATCAATTATTATTAATTTATTATCAAAAACAGTGGTAATAAAATGAATGCAC